TTTCTGGGTCACAGTGACATCAGCAATCATATCAGTGTGTTCACTCTGAGCCCGCAGGCGTGAGTGTGTGTGAGAGTGAGTGTGAGTGTGTGTGTGTGTAAGTGAGTGTGTGAGTTTGAGAGAGAGGGACGAGAACAAAGGAGGACAGAAGCAAGTCTGCAGCTCGTGATCGCCTGCAGTGTGTGTGTGTGTGTGTGTGGGCCGACAGCGCCACTTACCAGCTTTGCACAAATTTACGGCAGGAATTCTGGGACGGGAACCAGTGACGGAGTGTGTGTGACACTGATCATGAGTTACATGAAGGGAAGCTGCAACAGATTAAGGACGTGTGTGTGTGTGTGTGTGCGTGTGTGTGTGTGTGTTGTTTAATGATCTCTGATCCGCAGTGTTTTTGATGTTAATGCATTCATCGGTCAGGTGACACTCGAGTCTCACACACACAGGTACACACACACAAGTCGAGTCTAAAACGGGAGCGTCTGATTGGACGACAGAGAATCAAAGAAAGAGCGGCGGGTTTTAATGGCCTCTTTATGAAGACTGAATGAAGAGGTTTCTCTGCTTTGATAGCAGTTTGTGCTGCAGTGTGTCGTCTGCCAATCTCGAATCTGGTTCTGTTTAACGAGACGATATGGTGATGTTTTAATAAATGATTATATTGATGGTTGTATTTGCATGTGGAAAGTGCTTTTATTTTAATCTCGCTCATTTCCTCCGCCGGATTAAACCGTGATTTGAATATCTTTGAAGGTCTTTGTCGGATCGGTGTGTGTGTGTGAGATTGGTGTGTTTCAGCTGCATGAGATAATATTCTGTTCCTCACTGACATCATTAATTTACATGCTAATTGATTCTCTACAAGGCCTTTTAGAGAGTGACTGACTCATCCTTATGTGTGTGTGTGTGTGTGTGTTTGTATGTAAGTGAGTGTTTTGTGTGTGTGAGAGAGAGTGTTTATGTTTGTGTGTAAGTGACTGTATTTGTTTTTGTGTGTGTGAGAGACTGCCATTTTTGTGGGGACATTTTGTCTCCATAACTTAGGGTAACCTGCCACACACACACACACACACACACACACAAACAGCGGGATAAAATCCAGGGAACAGGCGGCCGAATGATCCATTACATGTTGCTAAGCAACGCGAGGTCTGGATTCTCCTGATAAACGGAAGAATTTGACTCTTGCATGTGGAAGCAGCGAGTTTATCTCTCTCTCTCACACACACACACACACACACACACACACACAGGCTCTCTCTCTCCCCGTCATGGACACATCAGTCACTCCAGCATCGAACAGTAGTTGTGCTTCGGCATCGCTGGTGCAGGAGTCGAGTGTGTCTCGCACATAATGGGCCGCGCGCGGGGAACATTACGCCGAAGTGGTGAAGTGACGGGTCATGTGACGGGTCGAGCTGAGCTGTGATTGGTGAAGGGATACCGTCGCACAAAGACTCTGATTGCTAATCACACACTATTACACTTATTCACAAAATGACTCCCGTCCTCATCTATTCGTGTCTCGCTCGTCCCTCCGACACACTCCATTACACACACACACTCACACACACGTCATTCCCTCATAATGCAGCGCCATCACTCACTCGCCACGGTTCTGACAGGATTATTTGTGTTTTTGATCGTCTCTTATGAATCCACAGTCTGTGTCGAAGCATTTCTGCCATAATCATGCTTTGGTCAAATTTAATTATGAAATTAAAAGTCAAAGTTATGATATAAAAGAAGGAATTATGACATACTATGTCATAATAATGAATTTGGATACATTTAGATTTTTTAATCACATAATTTTGACTTTTATCTCATGATTATGACATAAAACCCAAAATTATGAGATATTTCCATATATAAAAATATGGAATTATGACTTTGTAAGTCAATTATGTATTTTTATCAGTTATAACAAAGTCAAAATTATGAAAATTTAAATAACAAAATTTAGATAACACATTTGTGAGATTAAAAAGTCAAAATTATCAGATGAAGTCTAAATTGACATACTAAATCATAAATATGAGATTAAAAAGTCAAATTTCAGATAAAATGAGATAAAAATTTGAAATTATTACTACAAAAAATTTAAATTATGAAAAAAGTCATAATAATGAGATAAGGTAGAAATTATGAGGTAAACACTGTCATAATAAAGAAAAAGTAAAAATTAGGACAAAAAGTAAAAATTACAAGTCATAAAGAGATAAAAATAAAATTATGAGAAATTACAACATACTGTCATAATTATGAGATGTAAAATTTGAAATGATGACTAAAAGCCGTAAATATGAGAAAAAGAGTCAATGTATTGAGGCAAAAAGTATAAATTACAACTGTAATAATTATGATAAAAATTAAAAATTTTGACATAAATGCAAATGATGAGATATTAAAAAGATAAGATTAAAAAGTTTAAAATATAACAAGAATAAAATTGTCCTAATTATGAATTTAGATCAATTTACAATTATTATCTCATAATTTCTATTTTTTTATCTCATAATGACTTAACCTCATATGCTGTTTATATCATAATTTAGAATTTTTGTCATAATTGCCATAATTGAAAAAAAGTTGAAATTATGACATACTAAAGCGAAAATATTATTTCATGTCCCAATTATGATTTGTAAAAGCATGAGTTTGCTTGTGTGTGCTTCCACAGATCTAAGATGAGGAGTCGGTTTATCAGGAGTGATCAACAATAAAAAGCCGTTCCTGCGAGAAACGCATCAGAGCGAGAGATTCGGCCGCGGATCAATAACCCGTCAGCGGAGTCACTGATAGCACTGCCGCTTCACAGCACGCTTAACACAGATAATGGCCCTCCACACACACACACACACACACACTACAGAACTCAAACACATTCAAAGTCTGTTTATTACGTCATCAATACAAAACACACAGTCACAAACACAAGCGTGTAACTCGCTATCGTTCACATTAGAGACACTGCAGGATCCGGTTCCAGCACACATATCAAACACGGAGATTAAAAAGTCTTATAAAATTAAGAAAAGTAGAGGTGTAAACTTCTTACATAAAGATCCATTTACCGGAGAAGCAGAATGACTGAATAAATCCTGTTTTCTGAGAAGAAACGTATCAAAATGAACAACAAGAATCAATTTAATTCAAATCAAAATTGTTTTTCAGAACAATTCATTCTCCTGTAAATGTCTTGCTGGAAAACAAGACAAAGATTCGGTTGAACTTTTAGCAGTGCAGCGACACAACAGAGGAACACTGATTACACAACAACTTCAAGAGACTGATGGAATAATGTTCATATGAGTGACAGTCCAACTGCAAAATCCCCAAAGCCAGATGCTGTCAGTGTGTGTGTGTGTGTGTGTGTGTGTGTTGGGAAGTCGTCCATGTGTCGCCTCAACGATGACCTACATCTGACAGAACATCTTTCTTCAGGCTTTGTCCGTGCCCGCCCAACTGTGACACACGACACCGCCTGCCCAGCTACACGCGCTCTAACGCTTGGCTAACATTCACATTCGGTTATGAAATTTCATTTCTGAACGAACAATTTATTTCATCTTCCGACCAGCAATATTTCTAGCGCTCATCGCCAGAGAGACGCCATGCGGCTTTACCTAGAGTTTCATCATGCCAGTGTGTGTCAGATTAGCGCTAGCAAAGCGAGTGTGTAAGCGGATGATGAAACGGAGTGTGTCTGGGTGAGGGATGAGGCTTGACAGTGTGTGATGGATGTTATCGACTGTTACACACAGCATGATCTCACTAACACTCGGGAATATGACAAATGACATCATACACAATACTATCGGAACATCGGGAAGCTCGTTTCCGCCGCAGAATGACAGAGGACAAGGGAATCGCAATTTATCTCGCAATGAGTTTTTCCTCACAACTGTGAGTTTATAAACAGTTTTGACTACTTCTCGCAATTTATTTATGAATTGCAATTAGGATTTTTCTCGCAACTGCGAGTTTATAAACCGCAATCATTTTTTTTCTCACACTTCCCAGTTTATAAACGACAATTTAGACTTTTTCTCGCAATTCCCAGTTTATGAACGACAATTTAGACTTTTTCTCGCAATTCCCAGTTTATAAACGACAATTTAGACTTTTTCTCGCAATTCCCAGTTTATGAACGACAATTTAGACTTTTTCTCGCAATTCCCAGTTTATGAACGACAATTTAGACTTTTACTCGCAATTCCCAGTTTATGAACGACAATTTAGACTTTTTCTCGCAATTCCCAGTTTATGAACGACAATTTAGACTTTTTCTCGCAATTCCCAGTTTATGAACGACAATTTAGACTTTTTCTCGCAATTCCCAGTTTATGAACGACAATTTAGACTTTTTCTCGCAATTCCCAGTTTATAAACGACAATTTAGACTTTTTCTCGCAATTCCCAGTTTATGAACGACAATTTAGACTTTTACTCGCAATTCCCAGTTTATGAACGACAATTTAGACTTTTTCTCGCAATTCCCAGTTTATGAACGACAATTTAGACTTTTTCTCGCAATTCCCAGTTTATGAACGACAATTTAGACTTTTTCTCGCAATTCCCAGTTTATGAACGACAATTTAGACTTTTTCTCGCAATTCCCAGTTTATGAACGACAATTTAGACTTTTTCTCGCAATTCCCAGTTTATGAACGACAATTTAGACTTTTTCTCGCAATTCCCAGTTTATAAACGACAATTTAGACTTTTACTCGCAATTCCCAGTTTATAAACGACGATTTTGACTCTTTTCTCACAATTCACAGTTTATAAATCGCAATTTTTAGGTTATAAACATAAATCGCAAGTTAAGACTTTATTGCAATTCTGAGTTTATAATTCTGACTTGTTTCTCGCAATCCAGTTTATTAACTGCAATTTTTACTTTTTATTGCAATTCCGAGTTTATAAAATGCAATTTTTACTTTTTCTCACAATTCCGTTTATAAATGACAATTTAGATTTTTTTCTCTCAATTGCGAGTTTATAAACGACAATTTTGACTTTTTTCTCGCAATTCTGTTTATAAACCATAATTTGGACTTTTTCCTCACAATTCAGTTTATAAATCGCAATTTTGAGCTTTTCTCGCAATTTTGAGTTTAGAAATCACAAGTCTGACTTTTTCTCGCAATTCGGAATTTATAAACTGCAATTTTGACTTTTCACAATTTTCGAGTTAATAAACCAAAATTCAATTTTTTTTTTGCAACTGTAAGTTTCTAAATTCCAAGATATAAACTCCAAATTGTAAGAAATAAAGTCAGATAAAAAATTGCAAATACCTTTTTTATTGTTTTACTCCGTGGCGGAAACAAGCTTCCATGTAAACATCAGGATATAGTCAAAGGAAACAGAGCGATAAAGAGCTGAGTCTAGAAAGTGCTTCAATATAGTACAATAACATATTTAAATGTAGTACTGAAGGTAATAATTCATATCATAAAAGTGTAAAACGAGCTCAGAAGAGCTGCTGTGACACAATGAGGAACATTCATGTTTTAATGTTTAATACTGCAAGGCATCAGATCTGCACATCCATCACATCAGCAAACACTGGCACTTAATAAATAATAATCAGAACCATCAAATCTCAGCTTTACACCATAACAACACGAGTGTAGAAGTCCAGCTTCAGAGAAGTCAGTGTTCAGACCTTGTCTCACGCCTGAAGAAACACCAGCGCTCGAGAGGTCAAAGGTCTCCGCTCTTCTAGAGGAGTGTGTGTGTGTGTGTCTACTGCCCTCTGCTGGCCGATCTCAGTTTGATGATCCACTCACCGCTCGGGTTGTTGTTGTGCAAGTCAAACAAATGAGTCTCTGGATCCAAACAATGTTCACCTGATCCATGAAACAAGATTACAAATATAAATATGCACATTAATATTAGTATTATAGTATTACACTATAATAACTCATATTATTCAGGGTCAGGGTTCAGTCTTGAGAAACACTCACCGATATTTCCTCCGACTTCATAGACGGCCCAGTCTGGGAGAGACGCGGAGCCATTCCTGTGAGGGGGAAGGTAAACAAATGCATTTATTAAAGGATTTTAATTCTGTGTGTGTGTGTGTGTGTGTGTGTGTGTTACCGTTTCAGGAGACCCCTGCTGTTATCGGAGGCGTGCAGCTCTCTATAAAACTGTGACATCAGGTCTGAGGCGCGAGAGTTCATGGCCAGACGAAACTCCATCGAGGAACTCACGTCACCCAGCTGGATCTTTACAGTACGACACTGCTACACACACACACACACACAAAGAAAATAATTAGATCTTAATAACTGATCATTATGAGTCAAAGATCATTAGCCAAAAACTCCTTAAAATCAAAAGGGGACTTTTTTTACTATAGAATTATTATTATTATTATGGATACCTGAACATATTACTTTTATATATAATTGAATATTACACATTATTAATATGAATATATATTTTATAATATAGCATTTTCAATTAAGAAAATTACGCTTTTTTTACGAGCATGAGAGATTTTGACAGCAAACCGACATTTAATTCTAAGTTTAATTATTCCACATGGTTTGAAGTGGACGGGTTTATTCGTAATAGATGAGGATTGTGTTTTGAGGAATATCTCGCAGCACGAGCTCACGTCACGATCTCTTGAGCTTTTATACACTTCATGTGCTCAATCAGGTCCTGTAAGCATCTAAAGCCTCTAAAGGGATCATCCCTTCACCCTCTCTCTCTCACACACACGACCTGTCGCTCTCCTTATTCCCCATACACTACCAGTCAAAAGTTTGGGATCTGCAAGATTTGTAATGTTTTTATAAGAAGTCTGCAATTAAAAATGCCACAAAAACAACAAAAAAAAAACAATGTGAAATATTATTACAATGTAAAACCGCTGTTTCTATATGAATATATAGTTAATATATAAAAAAGATTCTATTTAAAATAAATGCGTTTAAAAAAATATAAGTAACTGTGTCCAACACTGATAATAATCATTAGATCATCATATTAGAGTCAAGTCAACTCAATTAAATAAATTTAAAATCGTATTTTAATCAAATATTAATTTTAATCAAATAAATGTCAAATGTCTCTCTCTCTCTCGCTCTGTTGGAGTTTTTGTTTGTGGTTTTAAATACGTTATGAGAGAGTGATTTCTGCTAAAATGGCCATGTATAATCCTCTCCCCCTCACCTCTCCGGAGGGCTTGCCGGGCTTGTCTCTGCTGTCGGTGTGGATCTTGCGGAGGAGGTTCTTGATGCGCTTGTCGTAGAACTGGTACCGGCGGCTGCTGTTCTCGTTCAGTTTCCTCACTTGACTCAACAGGAAGTTGGGAACCTACAGAACAGCCGAGCAGACGCTCATGAAGCAGACCAACCCGTGCAAACCCATGCACAAAACTGCGATATTACATAAAGCATTTGCGTTTCCATCCAAAATCAGGAAATAGTGCAAAATAGCAGTAACAAGAATGCAATCGCTGTCGTGTTCTCTCGCCCGAGGTTTATCGGATGATGTTTTCCCACTGTTGTTTGAGTGTGTTCACATCTCGTCGTTACTCCAAACATTCATGATCCGTTGAGGATTTATTCTGTGAATGTATTTCCCTCATAATTTATGCACATGAAGCTCCTAGTGATGAGAGAAATGAAGCTTTTTAACACTTTGAATGAACTGCAGTAATTGCTGGTGTGGAAGCGCTGGCGACCCCTGCTGGTCAGAACAGTGTAAACGCTGCGAGAACACACACATTAAAACACCTTTACAAACCAATAGCAAATATTTACCCAAAAGTGTAATTATTAAAGACCCGCTCCTCAGCTTTAGCATGTGTGTGTTCACGTACGCATGATAACAGGTGTGTGTGTGTGTGTGTGCACGTGAGGAGGTTCACCGTCCACAGCAGGTCCTGGTACCGGATGAGGAGCCGCATGATGTGGGCCGCCCGCTCCGCCTGACCCTTCTCCGGACCCGACGACAGCTTACTGGGAACCGCTTTATGCAGGAAGAGATTGGGAGCCATGATGGTGGAGACGGCCCACAGGTTCATGCGGTTCTGCCGCTCACAGGTCACGACCTTACTGAGGAACTCCAGTAGCGCCTGCACACACACACCTATGTCAATACATAGTAAAGTGTCATTATCATTACTCCAGTCTTCAGTGTCACATGACCCTTCAGAAATCACTCTAATATGAGGATCTGATGATCGAGACACATGGGCTTGGAGCCAGAGGGGCGTAAGTGGCATTTTGGGCGAATATGAGTCCTTTATATCAAAATAAAGGTCTCGATGAGCTCTATCCAATGGTGCCAAAATACCTATCTGAGATCAAACCGTATTGAATAAAGCAACAAAAAGTCGTATTTGACTTTTTGAAAATGTTTTAGAATATGTTCATTGTGTTAATATGCCATGCATTTTTTACTTAAATTCTCATTTGATGTAAGTATGCCTGTGGTTACAATGTTTGTGGTTTAAGGTTAATAATACAGGTGATTGTAGCGTGATCAAAATTTTGTTTTGTCTCTCCAGTAAAGTTTGTTAAAAGCCACTTACGCCCTCGTTATGATTATTATCAGTTTTGAACACAGTTTATTTTTTGTGGAAACTGTGATATATATATTTTTCGGATTCTTTGATGAATGTAAGCGGTGGAGTGAGTTGGGCTGTGGAAAGCACTTCATGTGACTGTAGCGTTCATCAACAGCAGCAGCTCAACACACACACACACACACACACACAGTTATATAAACGACTGACTGTGGGCTGTGAACACACACACACACACACACACACTCAGTTGATGAAGGAATTTCTCTTATGTAACGGGACCGGAGCACTGATGATGATGATGAGTCACTATGACACAGCAATGAGTATGACAGGCGCATGTGTGTGTGTGTGTGTGTGTGTGTGTTGTACCTTCAGTGTGTTTCTGTTGGGTTCTGGCAGCAGCAACACGAGGAGATTGAGCATGTGCAGCTTCTGCTTCAGGTCCGCTATATCTGTGCGAAACAATTCACAAATGATTCTTCATGAGAAACACTCGCAGCGTCTCTAACCCCTCGCGCGGTGCTAATATAACACTGATATATCATACAAGTCAAAATTTATGACTATCCTTTACTTCAATTACCAAAACACTGGATCCAATACTGCTGTAATCCTTCCTTTATTAGCACAGGTTCTTTTAGCAACACCATCGTCAAATACGATTGACAGTTAGCATACGGTTTGGATTAGCGGTATGGTTCAGTTCTGGGCAGCCTAGCATGGATAAGAGCAGCGATTACAGAACAGAACCAACATGATTGTATTCCCGATATCCTTCATTACTAAAGATATTAAAGTACAACATAATTGAGGATTGATTGTGATTGGAAGGGGAATGAGAACGGCAGACGCTGACGGAGACGGGAGGAGGAGGGTAACCGCGACCGCTGCCGATAACACTGACGAGCTCAGACTCGTACTCCTATAGCGGGACCCGCCGGTACTGACGCTACGCTTGATGTTTGTGTGTCTGTGCGAGCCGATCTGATGAACACACCTTTGACGGCACTGAAGGCGTTGAGGTGTTCGGCCGTCAGCAACGGCGCCGGCAGTTCCCGGATCAGCTTCTTCATCAGCGCCGCGGCGTCGTTCGGGCTCACCTCGTCCCAGACGAACGAGCCGCTGTAAAACGAGCTCTCCAACTTCTGCTGCAGAACCTGAGAGGAACACACACACACACACACACACCGTGAGCAACACACACACCGCAAGCCTGATTGATACAGCCTGATTGAATTTTTGGTTTGACTGTACATTTCTTAAATATATACATGCATGTGTGTGTTTTTTATATATGCAAAATAATTATACACAGCACACACACACATATATTATGTAAACACAAACTTTTACTGTGGATGTGATTAACCCTTGTGCATCCATTTTTGTCCTTTTCAGTTTTGTTTTTTTGATCACTTTGCCTGTGTTAAAGCTAACTGCAAAAAACTTGGCACAGGTGTGTATTTTTATTGGAATTTTACTATTTCACCGTCATTTTCTTAAAAAATATTTTTTTTTGCATTAAGTACAAGAAATACTCCCTCTCAGCACTTTTTGGACAAAAATGTCCTCATTGAAACCCATTAAAACTGCCATTTTTAATCCCCGGTTCAGTTAACTATAAAATTATGCAATCTTTGTTAAGAGGCTTTCATTCTGATGGCAAGGCTTCAAATTTTTATTTTTGACTATTTTTTTTATCAGATGGTGTCATTTTTTTAAAGTTTGGCCTATAAAACAAATATCGCTTTATTCCTGTTTTCTGCTTCGGCATACTATAGAGCCAACTGGGTAAATTATGCAACAATATTTGTGTGGGTGTGTTGGTATGGATGTCAGAGTGTGGTTAGTATGTGTGTTATAAAAAAAAAATGTGCGTGTGTGTGTGTTTGTAATACTGAGAGAGAAAAACTGCAAACTCAAATCCAGTCACTGTGAGCTCCAGTGGGGTTTTGCTGCCACCCAATGGGAAAAATATGATACTACGCCCAAACAAACTGTTACCCAAAGCTCATTTTTGAGATATCATCCTCAAATTTGGAACACAACCTATTTAGATTTATGGCTTTGATTTTATTGCAGTTTTGAGTTCAACCTGATTTATAAAATATATTTTATATAAAATATTTTTTATAAGTAATTTTCATGAAATTATACCTATATAACTTTTTTTCGGATTTACTTATTATTATTATTATTTTACTTCAGCAATAATCTGCAAAGGGTCTTCCTTAAAATGATACCAAACTTAAGTCTGTGCTCCAAAGCGTCACATTTTTATGACAGTTTTCTGACATGGACATTTTTGTCCTCTTTTTACCTATGTGTAATTTTTTTAATTGATGCACAAGGATTAATCGTTGCCCAGCACTAATGCGATGCCAGATGTTCATCCAATCATTGAACACGAGGAATACAGTGGTTCAAACAAGCACTTCAGTGGACACGATGCTACTTATTTGTTTCTAATAATGTTTCATGTTACTTTTATTCTGGCCTGAGAGCCGGGGACCCGCAGAATCCCCTCCGAATCCAGACCCTTCTTCTCCAGGAACGACAGGAGCTGAAAACAAGGAAAACAGTCATGTTGAAAACACCCAAGAGTCCAACTTTTAAAGTCACGTTGAAACGGAAGTAGCGACGGAGTTACAAAGTAACATTTATCGTTAGCAACAGTGTTAAAGTGACTAAACATGAGATTCAATGTATCCACTTCGGAGAGCTTCGTCATAAACTGGAGCATGACGTGAGAGGTGAAACAGGAAATGATGTCATCACATACTACTTGGAGGAAGTGTGTATGTGAGAAAGAGAAAGTGTATGTGTGTGTGTTTGAGTGTGTGTGTGTGTGAAACAGGAAATGATGTCATCACGTACTGCTTGGAGGAAGAGTGGGATCTGAGTGCTGGGTTTGATCTTCTGATCGCTCTCCACCAATGAGGCGAGAGGAACGCCAAACAAACAGCTCTCTGACAGACGGGAAGACATTTGACAGATTCGGATTATTCCAGTGTCACAGATCGAAATGGACGAGGTCAGGTGACAGGAAACTCACCAGGGATTTTCCTTTTGCAGGTTTTGTGTCGTTTGACCTCGAGCTCCAGAAGGTCACACAGCGCCGTCATGTCAATCAGCGCCAACTGGCGGACCTTCTTCAGGTCCTGATGGGAGAGATCCACGACCCGGGTCACTCCTAACCGGCACTGCGGACAGATGACCCTCTGAGAGAGAGAGAGGTGAGACGCTTGATCATACTTCTCAACTGTTTTTATTTCAGGAATATTATTAGTGATAGACAAATATGATCGACTCATTTTTAGTAGGGATGGGAATCAACAGAAGCTTATCACAATATTTCATTATTACAATTTTAAACATTTTAAGCATATTTTATATCTTATTATAACTGCAATATATACTGTATATATATATCCTCCTTTTTGTCCTTTCTCGTATTTTAGACATTTAGACAGAGCTTGCTGTAAAATTATACACTAAACTCGGTCGCAAAATCGCAACTCTGAGACGAAATTAAGGCCCTGAAACAATCGAGACTTGGCATGTGTGTATAAATACTGTGATACTATGCTGTATGGATTCAACCCCACCGCTATACATTATTATACTCTATATAACAGACAGTCAGTCAGATAGGCCTCGTTTACACTGCATGGTTCAAGTGACCCAAATCTGATTTTTTCCTCTCATGTGGCACAGATCGGATATGAGCGGTGAACGTGACCGATTTTCTCAGATCGGATTCAGGCCTCATTCATATGTGGTAATAAATCGGATATGAATCGGATACGTGCATTTGCGTGTGCCATGTAAGCAGAAAAATCAGATATTCCCCAGTAAATGCGAGTCGTCCGTCATCAAAAAGTGTGCGATTACAGGCGCGATGGAAGAAAGGAGACACACAGTGGAGCAATGCGGAGGGTTCATGTCTTTAGAGTGTTTGTGGTGAAGAGTGCAGGCGTTGTTACAGAAATAAATCAGTTTTTGAAGACATTTCACGAGATATGAGGCATCATTGTAAGCGCTCGTGGCTACAGTGCCTCTCCTCCCCTCTTTTTTCTCCGCCGTACGAGACCAATGTTTTGATGACTTTTCAAAATATTGCGGAAAGAAAAACACTGGATCATTTTATCCACATCTGCATCCATTGCATTTTGTGCTGTTTTACTTAATTTCCCGGGTCAGACTCAGAACGTCTGCATTTAGTAGTTTCAGCAGTGTATAGTGTAAATGCAAAAATCGGATATGGGTCACTTTTAAAAGATGATGTAAGCAGGTCGTCAAAAAAATCAGATATAGTCAGAAAATCGGATTTGGGCATCAAGACCGGCAGTGTAAATGCAGCCTTAGACACACAGTCAGACACACAGTAAGTCAGACACACAGTTACATAGACACAGACAGACAGACAGACATATTCAGACAGACAGTCAGTCTGACCGGCAGTGTCCCGTCATCTCTCCTGCTCGGGCTGCTGTTGTTCTGTGGTAGTTTGGCTTGTTTCAGTAAGATGGCCGCTTGTTCACAATACGCCACGTCTGTGATAAAGATCTCCTCCGTCTGTAGCCCTTGAGTCTCCTGCCCACTGACAGCTTCACA